ATAAATATTGATTTTCAGCTTTAGATGTATGTAAAATAATTTAAACGACTATTGATTCAAAAGAATGATTGAAGTAATAAACTTAAACTTGAAGAAACTTTAAAATATCTTAATATTCGATCACTTTTATTTGACTTGTTTAATGTCTTTGAATCCATGATTAATTAAAATTTATATTAATTAGCAGTCTGTATTATTTCAATATTTTATAAGAAAAAAAAAATCTAAATTAATTGCAAATTTTTGCTACTTAGTTAGTTTAACTAAAAATTATATAAATTTATGTAAATTCTTTAAATATAATTATTGTAATTTATAAAAGTACACCTCTAGTATATCTTTAATATTTTTAATCTGACAATTTCAACTCTTAAAAGAATTTTCATATTTAATTCTATTAATATTTTAACTTACTGAAATACTCGATGGAACATCCTTTGTACTAGTTTAAGACCGTATTAATTTGTTAAGATTTTGTAAAAACAGTCAATTACGTTATTTAACAATTTTATCTCTTTAATACACGTACATGCAGACAGGAGAGCGCGCGCATATGTATATATATATATGTAATAAAAAATAATGAAAAAACACTTATTTCATATAAAAATACTCATTACGTATGCAATTACGTACACTAAACTTTAATATTCTTTAAAATCTATCACAGAATTAATCGATTATTAATCGATTCAATTTCATTAACACCTTCTTATTAAAAACAATCTTGATTATTGAACTCTTTCCTTTCATATTGCTTCAGGCCATAAGGATTTAATTTCCAAACATAAACTCAACGATTACCGATAAATTTGAAAGATCTGATATCTGCTTCTCAACAAATATCCGTATTTTAATTTTCTCCAAACTACTAATAACTTCAACTTCAACGTAATTTAGTTATAATAGTTTTTTAAGTATGTAATTGAATAATTGTGAAAAATCAGTTAGTAAATCTGATTATAATTATATCACGCAAATTATTCTTAATTTTAGACTGAAAATTTGTTATTGCTTGATTCGAAATTTATCTTATCAATTTAAAAAAATATCAACAAATATTGACATTTCTTATTGGCTTTTTATTTTATGTTATAAAAATTACTTCAAACTATTATTCAATTATTAAATATTATTTTACTATCAGATATTATTTGCTTCATGCTTTTCTTCATTAGGATAATTGACATTGTCCTTATTGCGATATAATTTTTTCTGTTAAATAATTAAAATACACAACGGATTAATAATATATCTTAATAATAAATGTGATACACAAATATAGCAAGCTTTGCAATTATCTACACATCCAATTAAAAAATTTTTCTCTACAATGTTATCTTGCTTCTTTCATTTCTCTTACCCATTAAAATAAAGAAAAATAAGATTTTTATTAAATTGTGGATCGTGTGCGTTAGCTGTTATATAAATTTCGTGCTCCGAAAAATCATTTTATTTCAGCTTATAACGAATATTCATTAGATATATGATTCCTTTGCCTTTCAAGGAACCTTCAAAATCCTTATTTATAACGTCTTTACCTCTATCACTATCTAGCATTGTTTTATATTGTATTTTAATTACGTTTCAATCACTAATTGCTCTGCTTTCAATCATTTTGGTTCTTGAAAAACCGAAAAACTTTGATAAACTATCGGTGAAAGTAAAATGTTGTTTCTTGATGAGGTATTTCAACTCGTCACACATAAAATTCGAATTCATCATAAATTATTAGTGTTATAAAATTAAATTTAATATTTGAATTTTTCTGAAAATTTTTGAAGTACTTATTGCCATGACGATTAATTTATTTTCCATAATATTTAAGTATTTAAATTATTAGCATTTTATTTCGATTAACTATCATATTGAAATTCCAGTTTTTTGTTATTTGAACATGTGTGTGTGTATGCGCGCGCGCGCGCGTGTGCATACATATAACGGTAGTCGAAATCCGTAGCTTTAATCATATTATTGCATGTGAATAAATATCGGTTCCCGTTATCTGAACCGAAAAATCTTTTCCTATTTAGCAGTTACTTTAAGTAAAAATAAATTTTATTTTAAGCTTGGTATTAACAACACGCTATTTATGGTTATTAATATTCCTATTTTTCTCTTACTAAGCTTTCTATCTGCGTATTAACTTTTCGATACAGTTGTACATATTTTTAACTGTAAATGTCGCTGATTCTTACAACTGCTATTTCATTAAAACTTTGGGACTTCAGAAGCATTCTTAAAAGATTTTTTATATAATCCTTGGCTCTCGAACCAATCAGGCAGAAATCGCTGTTATCGGCGCCTACTAATTTCTACTAAAGCGATTCTTGTTATCGATTTTTCTTGCTACAAAGCCTTTCCCGACACGATCGACTTTATTGTTTTTTCGACGATGTCGTACCAAGAACACTCCCGTTGCAATTTCACAAAATTTAATTATTTTTATTTTTAAAATAATTCCTACTTAAGCGAACTTATGGGGCACATTTAAAATGTCTAATTCAACAAATCTAAAATCATAATTTATCATTCAATTTTGCGTCTTACCTTCACTTACAGACATTTAGATTACACTGCAATTGTGTTGCAATTGGGTTGGAAAATTATTATTCATTCTTGACTTGATAATTAATGCATCGAGCGTTTCATCACCATTTTTTCCTTCAATTCCAGATTCCTCCATCAAATCCTTTGGTCAATTTACTAAAATATTTTTATTATCTTCTACATGATCACCATGTACTACGGAAATACTTAAGTCTTTCCGAAAAATTATAAAAATTCTAGTCAACGTGGATGCTGGAACTCTATTAACATCAACACATTGTGCAATGTGTTTTACAGTTATTCAATTTAACATCTAAACAGTTTAAATAATTTTTTTGCGTCCACATCTCTTTGATGTGTGTGCAACTCAATAACAAATCCAATAATTAATTTTTTCATTACAATTTTAGTCTTGAAATTATATAATTATGGTCGATGGGTATTTGTTAGAATAAAATACACAAAAATTTGTAATTAATATATTTATTGAAATTGATAGATATATACGTGTGGCGCGCGCGTGTGTGTTAAAAAGCTTTTCGTATCTGTGGACATTTTGATAACACGTATATTATATATGCGTATTAGACATTATTTGCGAGACACAAGTGTAAGTATCATTGTTTGCATATTGTTTAATTATAACTATATATATATATATATATATATATATATTGTGCATGAAAATATAGTTTTAAGAAATAAAAGGAGAGACTTTTAATAAAAATATTTATAAGAATTTCTGCTTCAACTTAAATATTTTTAATTCTTTAAGCTTAATAGGAATAAATATTACGCGTTATGCTTGAAAATTCAGTTATTTTATGTTTTTCATAAAAATAAAATTTTGTTGGTCTAAAGTAATATATTTTATTTATCTGTATCATGTATCTCAATAGAGAGACAATGAATTTTTTATTTCTTTAATACATTTTTCAGTATTCCTTTAAAATGTACCACCATTAGCTAACCTACGTAGGGTAAATATATAATTAAAATGAAATTTTTTCTTTTACAATATCCTTAATGCTTTTTGTATTGAATAATGAATAAAGAATATGTAATTTTCTTATTTATATATTCATAAATATTCTTATACATAATAATATTCATTCAATCTGTTTAAAATATTATAAATTATTAATAAATTCAATTATTACAGTTACGTATCAATTAATTTATATAGAATCTATTATAAAATAAAGTATTTAAATATTAATTAAAAATTTTTTTTTATAATTGTATTTTATAAATCCAATTTATTAATTTTCACACATTTTTCTTGTTGATTAAACAATAAAATCTATATTTGTCATAATTGAAAAGCTATGTATGCGCAAGCAAACAGACAAACACGCACAGTCACAGACTGAGAGAGAGAGAGAGAGATAGAGAGAGACAGGCAGACAGCATGTATATTTATACTTTGTAAATTAAGCGTTATTAATTTTTAAAGCGTTGAAATTAATTTTTAAAAAATCGATAAACCATAAGAGCTTCGATTAATGAAGGAATTAATCCTTCATCAATTCTACATTCAGAATCTTTAGACTATTAATTAATAAAATTCTCTTCCTATTTCTCCAAAGTATTACAATGTCATTATAAATCTAGTATAATTGAATGAACAATCATTATCAAATAATAGGATCAACAATTAAATAAAACAATTAAAATTATAAAAAAAAAAAATGAAATTAAGGTCGGAAGAAGATTTGTTTCATGAAAATGGCTTATTCAAAATTGTCATTAAAATAAATTCCGTTATATAAATATAAGTATTGTAAAGCCAATGATTTCTCATTGCATTAATGTTTCATCATTTTTAAATGCCAATGTCTTTGACTTTGAAGCTACGAATAATGATGAATATTATATCGTCGCGAATCTTCTTAAAATTGACGCTTGGCGAAGCACGAGTAGGAAATTGGATGCGCCAAATCAAACGTAACGATCAGAAGGCAAAAAGCCAGGAGGAAGCCAGGAGGAAGAATTACGCAACGGAAGAAAGTAATTTTCTCTATCGAAAATCAAGTTTGACTGATGGATATTCGCAAAGAGTTGACGATCACGTTACGGTAATTGTGACGAAGCCACCATGAGATATCCCTCATCTCCGTATGCATGGACATCGGGAGCAGCTGCTGCATACCGTATGTGCATGCAGGCCAGCGGCATCCAAGACAAATAACTCATCCTCGTCGTCGGCTTCCTGTACCTATCACAACCGTCGCGGACACCGAAGCTCCCCCACGCGAGGACAATAACCTTGATCTTCTCTCCGTTCTCAATCGGTTTACTCGTGTGCACGTGCACGCACGCCACTGAGCGTGTATTTTTGGTATTTGCGTGCGTGCGTGCGTGTGCGCGTGTATGGGTGGAACGGGCGAGCCTGGAGGGGCGGGGAGGGGGGGGGGTGATGTAGAAGTATTGAAGCAGTAGTGATGCGTTTGCCGCTAGTGTGCGAATTTCGCATTCGGCTTGATTCCAGTAATTGTTGCGAATTCGTATAAACTTGATAGTCGGGGCTTGGAATACTCGAAGATGGCGATATTTACATTGCTGAGGGAAAAGGTGTTCAGTGTGCCGAAGAAGAATAATAAGAATAAGGATAAGGAAGTGCGATTATGATATTTTGTTCGTTATTTGCGTAAATCTAGGCGACATTGTGATTATCCGAAGCGTAATATTTTATTATGATATCTTTATTATACGACAATTGAACGGTTTACGTAACAAAGTCACTTACGTGATAGAAATTTTATCATTTTTCACCACTTAAAATCTCGTGCTGCTTGCATAAATATGTACGAAAGTCTTTAGGTTAGCTTAATGTCCGTTATTGCGCCAATATTGCAAGTGATGGAAAATCGACGCGTAATGTAAATATCAACGTGTCTCTCTATTCAAAAAATTACTTTTGTTTACGTAGCTTATACTTCGCGACTTCTTCCTCCCCCCCCCCCACTCAGAAACCGTCCCATCGTCAATATACCACGAATGAATTGGAATTATCGGTGGAGCCTAGAATACGTCGGTAATTGGAAATGAATTGATCGATATTTGCAGAGATGTCGGTAGCTGGGATCGTTGGTGTTGACTGCCATAACGTCGATAAGTCGATAAAACAGTTTTCGTTTACACATGTGCATATATTTCTCTCTATCTCTCGCTTTCTCTCTGTCTGTCCCTCTCTCTCTCTCTCTCTCTCTCTCTCTCTCTCTCTCTCTCTCTCACGATGTTTGTGTAATATATTTTAGGAATGGTGAACATGTTGCTTTTTAAAAGAATATAGTTCGTATTAACATGACTTTACAAATATCTATACATATTTTTTCTCTTATTTGTTTATCCTTAAATATGTTTGTTTTTCCAGTTGATTGATGTACAAAACGCGCTGACGAACAGAGCTGGAATTTAGAGTACTTAAGATAAAATAAATATACTAACCACTTGGCACACTAATTGAATATTAAATTAAATGCAAAATTATAATATGACCATGTTATTCGATCAATGACGTAATGTGGTTAGAAAACACACGCAAGTACGCGTTCGATAAAAATGCTAAAATTATTATAACATTTAATGAATTAATGGCTTTAAAGAATTGGATGCTTGTCATAAAAGAATGGCATCAAACGTAGTTGAAGTAATCAATTTGGTAACGCTATTAAAAATGATTAATTATATTTGTTATTGTATTTTATAAGCTAATAAGTATAATGTTTTACTCGCCCATGGAATATAGCGTGCACCTAATATTTATTATATTTCAGTATCATTTGTCCCCCCTTGACGTTTACATTAATGCTTATTTCCTGTTTGCAACTACATTGTTCAATTTGAGAGAACATACATTTTTATTAAACATTTGTCTTACCAGTCTCTGACAATCTCTCTTTTATCATTCTATTTATTTACGCTTTGTTTCTTCCAAAGACTCTTTAATAAAGACTTTTTAATAAAATGAAAATAATTCTTTGATAAAGTGACTTGTTAATATTTATTTAATATTTTCAATAATTGATAACTTATCATGAATATTAGTACTCGTGTACGTAAAAATACGCTCGTTTCATTAACTAGCGACGTGAACATTATAAGATGTGTCTTGGCTTGTGAAATATGTTTGAAAAATAAAAAATAATAACGTTATTGACGTTGCTTTGATTTGAAACTGATAGGGAAATTATTGCTTTTAATGGATTGCTTTTAGGGAAATTATTGCGTCGATATTTGAAAATTGTTTGGATATTACGTACTATTATATGGCATAGATGTGGACAGCTCGTCCGATATGGTGTGCGAATGTAAAAATATTTGACAACAAAACAATAAACATACATGGCAATATGAAATGACAGGTAAGGCATGTAGAAAGGTTGTGTATGCGTAAAGGGCATTGGGCATGTTATGCAAAGTTTTCAGAATATTTAAATATCGTAGGAGGATTCGTTGATTTATACATAAAAGTATATTATATAAAGGACGAATTGAGGGGGGGCGGCGGAGGGAGGAGGAGAAGGGGGGGGGGATAGGGAGTAATAATGAAATACTAATCGGGAAAATACCGTTCGCTTATTAGCAATAAGCATGAATATCCATTGTAATGCAAACAGCAATTTCGTTGTTTATCAACCCATTAACAATCAATATGAGGCTGCCATTTTCCAGATATACTATCATTTTAATTAGCAATTACGCACGCGTATGTAGATAACAACAATTTTAAGTTATTTGAGTACTCCGGTGTACGATCGTATTAATTAATAACGAGGCACGTACATTCTATCACATAAGAACTGAAGTAGCATTTCTAAAATGTGAATCATCATTTATGAAAGAAATATAGACGTAAATTTAAAGTACAATATGAATATACATGTGCGTCGTCTATATTATTATTCGGAATTTTATGATAATATTTAGGGATTTTTTTTTCCGGCGTACGGTTGACGTAATGACGATGAAAAAACGCCGACAGAGTCATTCACATGACTCAAGTACGTACATATATATGTATATATATATATATATATATATATATATATATATATATATATACATATACATATGTACTTTTTTCCGAAACTGGTTATGCAAAACAATATACGTCTTATTTATTTAGCAGAAAAGATCTTTGACATATGGTCGGTAATCTACCGATGTCACTTTTTATATTTTAGAACTCATTAATGAGTAATTGCCGTCAATCCTTAATAGATAGATACACCTTCTCTGTGAATTAAATACCAGCAACTTATCAATTTTTCTAACGTTATATCCTTGCATTATAAGAAATAAATTAAGCTCACGTATATATAAATTATTATTACAATAGTAACGAGCTATATGGAATTAATTGGAAAATTATTTCATTTATAATTGAAAGGTTTCTTGAAAGGTTTTTTTTCTTTCATTTGTCTAAAATTTGTAAATTAATGGTTGATTAATCGCGCCATTATAATTTTCATTCGTATAGCGAAAAATAATATTTATGGACGAGCTTTTCGAATTGAATTTTCATGTACATATTGCTTCAATCGACAACAGATGTATCAATGATTTTATCTATAAGTATATATATGTATAATTTAAGAAATTTGTAAATAATAAAATAATATTGATCGTTGGGTGATTGAGAAAATGAAACGAGACGAGAAAGAATAAATATGCGATCGAAATTAAAAACAATATGCAAAAAGAAAAAGAAAATATTTCATAACATTTTTTTTCTTTTATATTTCTTTTATAAGAAATACATATGTATACGTATACAATGGATATTTTTCATAATTTTTTCAAGTGAAAATTTCAAATTAAATAACGTCATTAACAACGGTCGCATTGTAAATATAGTAACATTGATAATGAACAATGTTGTCTCATAAATTTTTGATTTTGCTAGTAGAAGTCGCGAAGGTTTGATTATTAGATTTATTACAAACGCAGTTTGGAGTTGGAATTAATTTATGTGAATGCTTCTTTTTTCTTTTTTTCTTTACATGGACAGACTGTATCAGAAAATGCTCGTCTTGATGTAAATTCACCAGGCTGCGATGACGAGTTTGACTTTTGGGACCAAACGGGGTTCATGTTGAGAAGTGATGTCGATGACCCTCTCAATCATGGAAGGTAAAATACTATCACTCGAGAAATATTAGAATATTATTTTTATATTTTTATAGCAATTTTACCCTAGGAATGAAATTCATGGGAATGAACGTATTTGTTCGCGCATTATTTATTCGGACAGTGAATTTGGCAAATTTTTCTCATTAATATTTTCTTAATTGTATGTGCAATAAATAATACTTTATGCAAGGACTTTTATAGTTGAACCTACAATTAACATTTTACTTACGCTACGTAAGCACGTAATAGTTTAAAAAGTTTATTCAGATATAGTAAGAAAATTTATTTTATATCCCTTTTCATCACGACCGACACTAACAGTAGAAGAAGAAAAACAACCATTTGACACAATCGGTTATTATATAATAAGAAATAAGACTGTTAATTAATGACCGTATTAGTTTAATAATTATATCCTCCGTGTCCGGACAGGAATAATATTGTATAAATTACAATTACATAATGGAACTTGAAAGATTCGTAATGTCATTTACTGAATTATATTATCGGATATTCAAGGTAAATAAGTGCAAAAAGTTGAAATTTCTTGTATGCAGTTTAAAGTAATAGGGGCGGAGGGGAGTAAGTAGAAGAAAAAAAAATCTAATTAGCTTTTGCTGCAATAACTCAGTTAAGTACATTGTAATTAAGCATTGCTATCGTCATATTATTGTAAGTAGGCGGTTGAATTTAAATTCGAAAGAAGAATGTTTATGAAATGTAGGATGGAACGTATTGTTTCGAACTCTGAAAGATTCATCTCATTAAAAAGTTAAGGCCGAAACTGTATCGCATTTTCAAACAATCAAAGCGTAACAATCGCTTAATCTCTATTAAATACTTGTAAATGTAATGATCTAGAGACTTATGAACCATAGACGTCGAATTCTAGTTTATTTCTTTGCAAATGTCAAGGTGTCCGTGTTTTAACAAGTCGTTCTCATAGGCTTGGGATGTCGCATAGGGGTATTAGCGCGAGGTTAGCCAGAATTTAAATTGCCCTCCCAAAGTCAACTCAGCCCTCTTGAGTATAGTCCTCTTGGTTCTTTGGCTTCGATTCGCATTAATTACATAAGCGGCCAATGAATAATTAGGATAGGGGGAGTCCCTCGGGAGTCCCGAAATATCGTCGTAAAATGAACGACCAGTCGACTCTTGGTCCCCGATTAAGTACGATGACGCAGTTTGTCGTTGTCATTGGTAGGTGGGGCGCCCAGGAGTGGTGCAAACCAAGTTGCATCCCCATCACGTTCATCCTGGTGCTGATAGTGCTGGTGGTCCTGCTGCCGCTGCTCGATCACGCCCCCGACAAGCAGAACCTCAACGGCACGGGATTCGACAATGGGAGCGGAATGGCCTGCATGAGCGACTGCAGCCTCTCATTGGTCGAGTCCATACCCTTACGGCTGACCTATCCCAATGGATCCGTAATCCACAGGAGTACCTACACCACGTGGCTGGACTTGATCGCCGCCGCCCGGAATACCGTGGAGATCGCCTCGCTCTATTGGACGATGAACCGCGAGGACGTCTACCCGGACGACAGCGCTCTGGAAGGCGAGGAGGTATTCCAAGCCCTCGTGGACGCCGGTAGGGATAGGGGCATAACGTTGAAGATCGCCCAGAACGCGCCCAGTCACATAAGTCCCAATGTCGACACGGAGTTCTTGGCGAAGAAGGCCAACGCCCAAGTGAGTCCCCGAACTCGTACTCTGCCTTACGTTTTTTAGACGTATTTTTAGAGTTTTTTTTTTTTTTTTTTTTTTTTTATTTTTTTTTTAGAGCCTTATTTTTAGACTCTCGGCTTGGAATCAAATTATTCTTTTAATGCGTAATATTTTAGTACGAATATTCGATAAATGACGCGCCCAAGTACAATACGGTACACATGTATTAATGTATATATGTTTGTGGCAAATGGCGATTCGACTCTATTGGCAATGTTTTCATTTCTTTTTTTATTCACTTCTCTTCCTTCTTCCGTATAAGCTACTATTCTTATTCCTACAACTCTCACTTTTCTTCCTCAGTGCAAATGTCTAATTTCTCGGAATATGTCTCCAACGATATTTGCGAGAACAAGGGCTAAATAACGCGCGAGGCCCAACAATGCACAATTACAGCGACGTTTTGCAATGTCTAATTATCTAAACGAGAGTGTTTAAAGGAAAAAAGTACGTTGAAGCGATGGGAGGGCGAAAGGACTGAGGCTCACTCAGATGGATGAGTGCAGTAAGTAAAAGGAACGTACCACATGATTGTGCAGGTGCGCAGCCTAAACTTCGCGGCACTCCTCGGCGGTGGCGTTCTCCACACGAAGCTCTGGCTGATCGACCGTACGCATGTCTACGTGGGCTCGGCGAACATGGACTGGCGGTCCTTGACCCAAGTCAAGGAGCTCGGCCTCGTCGCCTTTAATTGCTCCTGCATGGCCAGCGATCTCGCCAAGATTTTTGACGTACGTGATGAGTGTGACATTAGCGTCACATCGCTATCTATCACTATTGTTTTAATTGTTTTTCTTTTGTTTGGAGTTTTGCGTGCCGTTCGGTCGCGTATCGCGCAATGCTCATTTCGATCCTCAAACAGAATTATCAAAAATCAGGCAGAAATGCTAATTGTCGAGGCTGATGCACAAGTTGTTTGTTTTTGTTTTTCTTTTATTGCTATATAGGTCTATTGGACGATAGGCGAGGACAACAAAATACCGCCGTCTTGGCCCAATTCTCTCGCGACTAAAATCAATCTCAACAGTCCCATGGCCTTTACTTTGGATGGGAACAAGTACAAAAGCTTCTTTGGCGTGAGTCTTTCATTTAATATTTTTCAATATTTCATTTTCATATCCGGACTGTATTTACCCTGTATTTATTCTCATCAATTGACTTATTTACTTATTTGTTTATTTATTTATTTATTTATTCATCATTCAATAACATTCTGTACATTCATCCGAAGTGGCAAATTGCTATAATCGTGCTTAGCCACTTATTTATATTAAAAGAGTTTTTTTGTTCTTGTTTCGTTTGGCTTTTCAGCACAAGTCAAACTTTATTAATAAGCAATTGATTTTTCATCCAATAAACTCTACGTTATATATATATATATATATATATATATATATATATATATTTTGGCTTTTAGAGTTCACCACCGTTGTTTTCACCGGAAGGTCGAACGAGCGACATCGACGGCTTAATACACTGCATAGAAAAAGCCGAAAAGTTCATTTATATCTCCGTAATGGATTACTTTCCCCTCACGATTTACTCTCCGAAAATCAAGTACTGGCCAATTATCGATAATGCGCTAAAAAGTGCAGCATTGGAGCGGAAGGTCAACGTTAAACTTCTTATATCAAAGTGGAAACACTCCAGAAAATCCGAAGATTATTTTTTAAAGTCTTTGGAGGATTTAACTAATAGTTACAGTAAAGTGAAAATTGAAGTGGTTAGTATGGTAACGTGGTTCGCACTAAAACAAAAAAAAAAAATAAATAAATAAATAAAAATTCTTTCTCTATATCAGCAATGAATATAAATATCAGTTTCTTCATTGTCTTCGAATCGATAATTTTGCTATTTATGTAGATTTTCAACATTACGATGATTTACCATTACATTTACCATTATATTTCAGAGAAGATTTGTAGTGCCTAGTAATGCTGAATTGGATAAAATTCCTTTTGGACGGGTTAACCATAATAAGTATATGGTGACGGATGTCGCAGCTTATATTGGGACGAGTAATTGGTCGGGTGACTATTTCATTAATACGGCTGGTAACTATTTTTTTCATTGTTTACTCGACCTCATATATTATATGAGAATAAATACTCTTTGACTATCAAAAGTATAATAGGAAAATAAAACTGATAATTTAAGATTATTGGCATTCCAATTGTTTCAAATGTATTTTAAGACTTGAAATTTACGACAGCATTAACTTACAATTAATATATATTTATATATATGTGTGTGTGTGTGTGTGTGTGTGTGTGTGTGCGTGCGTGTGTGCGTGCGTGCGTGTGTTTGTGTTTCACGTCCACTTTTTCGAATTAATTGAAAGATAATTATAATAAAAGTCTGTCACGTAAACACAATGTGAAATAAAATGGTATTTACTATATATAAATATGCGAAATAATGATAAATAGATTAATTTTTACCAGAAAAAATTAATTTATTTGTTATAAATCGATTGATTAGCAAGTTTTAACGTACTTTCTCGACAATGATTTTCTTTAATATATATGCTGGGCAATTTAAACTTGCAATTCCAATTCACATTTAATATTGTAATAAGAAAATATTGTTTCTTTATTATTGTTTTTGTTTGTATTTTTTTTTTTTTCATGCTAATTTAAAAAATATACTATACAGTATATATACGGCTATATAGTACATTCATTAGAATATTAATGTTATTCGCTGAAAGTTAACAACAATGTTATTATAAAGTACCCCCCCCCCACATATAATAGTAGAAATAAAATCATGACAAACTTGAACGATATTATAACAATTGAAAATGATAGTACATTCGCAAAGTCATATCAAGTAAGACCTATTAGTTACCCATTGTTTACTTAAATCAGTTTGATGACTCGATTACTAATGATGACTAAATATATAAGGTTTGATCTATTTTATTTATCACACTCCGAATGATTTGCGATTTATACATAAAGATACTTTGACATCATGTCATCATTAAATATTTGAATATTGATTTATCTACTACAATTTACTGAAATATTAAAAAAAAATTCATTATTTAAAAACTACATTATTCATTGAATGGATATCGATAAGAAGAGTGTATTCATAATCTTAAAATGTAACAAGTACTTAATAAATGTATTAACTTACTCGAATGTACGAATTTTTGGAATAATACATATGCGTGCACACTGTTCTATAGGTTATGTAGCTAAAATCTAATATTCTAAATGTTAAAAAATTTTTTTATTTTTATTTTTTTATTGAAACGTTTCTATTATCATTCAAAGTATTAAGTTTGAGATATGCATTTAGACAGAAAAAAAATTTAAACCAGGATTGGCTTCATAAAATTTTAAATATTCTAAAGCATTAACATAAATATATCGGAAACTGATTGTGGAATTACTTTTGGTTTTAGAATAGATAATTTTAATCGTTAATTAAACATTCATAATATATGACTAAATATAAAAATTTCTTAGTAAATTATTATTTAAATATTGTAGAATATTGTATTCTTAAATGCTTCGAATTTCATTATAAAAGAATTTTCGGATTCTTTAAAAATGTCCAACTTGTAGGGATCGTATGAATATTTTTAAAATCAATAAATTACATCGGTGATGATTAATTTGAGATATTACCCTATGAATATATGCAAAATTAAATTTGCAAAAAATTTTTTATATGATTGTATTAATGCACCAATATATTAATTCAATCTAGTCTTTACTTAAATTACATTTCGTTTGTTTTTTTTTTCTTTTTTTTTTTTATAGAATAATACGTACATCCATTTTTGCTTTATTATGTATATAAGTAATTTTAGTATCAACATTTTTAATTACTGAAATCTTATACCTTTATCATTTTAATTATTTTATATTTTACTGTCATAATTTATTTGCAAAATAAAAAGGTGCTCTTAGATTAAATTAAATACATTTTTACACAACAAACATATAAGAACCAGTTACATTCTTACACAATTATTCTCATTATAAAATCTCTAAATGATTTGTAATCTATTATTACTTAAGCTTTAAATAACATATGTAATTAATATCTTTATATAATGTAAAATAATAATTCCAAGTATTAAGCTGTTGATTAATTATTATTTACGCTTTTTAATAACATTTTTTGACGATAAAGAAAACATTGATAAAACTGTTTATTTAATTTAGTTTTACTTGTTTATTGAAAATTTTTCAATATATTACTTAATTTTTAACTAAGTATAGTCATAGATAATTAGCAATTATCAAAATTATGATTTCTTAGAAGTAAACAAATTATCATATGAGACGTGATGTTAAGCAAAATTGTAGCTCACATGAAATATTGAAGAAAAGTATATTGAACAAAAACAATCAATAGTAATGATAAATTATTTTAATACAAATTTTTTGTAAAAATTTTTAATTCATTTGCCATTAATCAGTCTATGCATTTTTATAAAGAACACAATTAAATATTGATTTTCCTTTGTTGCAATTTAATACGCTGCTCTCTATTTTTTAATATGATAATAATTTGATAAACAGCTAATAATAAAATAATTTTGTTGAATATTTTCAGTTTTAGTTTCCACAGAATATTCAAATTGTAAGATACTTATTTTATAAAAGTTTGAATAAATAATGTTAATTACAAAATTATATTTAACGAATCTTCATGAATTTTTCATGGAAATTAGTATACAAGTTGATTTTCATACTAAGTACACATTCTATATTCTTGAATATATGAGCAGGAATTTTATTATATTTTTAATTCCATTAATAATTTGTGTCACAAGTGTGAAGAATTCTTCAACTAAACAATAATATTGAAATTAATGTTAAATAAAATTACTAAATATTACATGATTTATATGTTTAAATTATTGTAATTCTATAAGGCCAAGTAATTTTCTTAATTGTTAACTATTATAAGATAATGGGATTCCGGCAAATTTTATCGCTCGATCAATATTAAAGATACAATACGGGTGTACTACCGCAAATTTCAATGCAAATACGCTGATTAAAATTTAGTATTACTTTTATATACATGTAAATGCATTTGATAAACATTTATGAAAATCAATGTACTTACGGAACTGATAAATAAACATTTGACGTTCCTTGAAACCTAAACAAGTTATTCAAGTTTTTGTTTTATTTATTTTATTATCCTGACTATTTATAAGTTTTCTTAAGTACTATAAAGTTTTATATTGCTATAAGTATGTAAGTGTGTTTAGCCGAATTATTTAAAATGGTAATATATTTGAAAAAATGCATTAATTTCCAAGGATAAAATTGTAATATTTTATTATTATTGAAATATGTAAAATAACTAATTGGTGTTGAGTTCAGTGAAACTTCTTTATTACAAAGTTTTTCCATCTTAATCTATATATTACCGCCATATCTAATCAGAATATCATATTTTTCTTTGAATTTTTAATATTACACGTAAATTATTTCCTACATAAGTTTTTAATATTTGCTTAGATAAACAGTTTTCTAGGCCTGATTAATACATAGGAGTTAGAAAGAAAAGAAACTCGGCTAGTAATTAAATTAGACTTTACGTTTCCTTCTAGAAAGTATTTAAATAAAACTTTGAAATAAAATTTAGTCATTAATTTTCGAGATATCGCGTTGCTTAACTATTGAGAATCGTTAAAAATTATGTTTGACATTAGTTAAAAATAATTTCAATTTTTAAAAGTTTTTCTTTGATTGAGTATATATTTTAATTTCTTTTATTAATGTCAAATTCATTAAATTACTAATCATTGTTATTACTCTACTAAAAATTATATATAATAAATTACTAATATAATAGATTGAATTAGAAAAAAATAATAAATAAACTACACGGAAGTAAACATTATTCTTTTCAATTTAAATTAAAAAAAAAATAATTCATTTTTATGTATTTTCCATATAAGTAATAATCAAATATCTTTATATGTAGATATTGTGATAAAGCAATACTTTTATGCGTGTTTCTTTCATGGTTAAAAGATGGAATAAATTAGCATAAGGAATAATGAAAATAAAAGTGTAAATGTAAAGAATATAGAAAATTAAAATAAGGAAATCAAACGAATTCGGCATTCTTTATTATTATTTTCAGTTTAATAAATATGATATAAAACTATTAAAGTATTTGTACGATGTCCAAGGCCGAGCCTTATCCAGAGAATCAAAGTAATTCCTATGAATGACGTATGTATGGCCGGTAACACACATGCACACATTTATATATACATTAAGCAATGGTGTCTCTAATTTTTTACCAAAGAGGTATATTTGATCACCGAATTTCTGAAAAAATACAACATAAAGTTAATTTACTTCCGGCCTTATGTGCATCGCAAGCGTTAAACAATTTAACTCTCGTTTAACTATATCATTGATAGTCTTAAGAATTACCAAATAGTTGCTGTGGCTAATGTATGGAATATATAATACTCGTCACCCTCTTTTATAATATGTAAATAAAAAAGAGTTCGTGTCCCTTCGTTTATAAATATTCAATCGATAATGTGTAAATATGAAAAAAACCAAAAAAGATAAAGAAGAAAAAAATTATTCGAATTTTTCTCACCAGTTTTTAAATAACATTCTTTTTAAAAATAATAATCCAGACACACACGAGTGTACTTGCTATTGAGATCTAACGTAACCGTTTTACTAATATTCTCTACACATTTATATATAAATATATAAAGTTTTTTAATTTTAGTTTCGAATCATAAGAATCGAAGAGCTAATTATATCTTAACTTTAATTCCATTCATTTCATCGATTACAACAATTTTCAATTGTAACTTTGAAGCATATTTTTTTGTAATAATAATAATAATTCAGTGATAAATTTGTAAATATCGATAATTTTGGAAGTATTAAATGTAATAAGTAATATGTTTAAGCGTAAACAGGTGTATTGTTATTAATTACCTCAAATTTAGTGTAATATTTGCAAAATTTGCTTAATAAGGCTATAATTTTTTTAAATAAATTTTGACATATTAATTGTGCAGTTCAATAGATATTTCATTCAGAAGTGGAGACGAAAAATGTATAAACTATAGGAATATTTTTTCAGCTTGTTTATGCCAATACTGATTAAATGCAAGTCTTAACTTTCCAATAATATATCAAGCTGATAATAACCATTCAACTTTGCTTTCTTATTCTATATTTCGTTCAATATTTTTGATAATTTATCATTTTTTTAAATTTCAAAAGGCAACACATTGAATTGTCAGAAACTAGAGTGATATTATAGTATGTAAATACAAAATATCGTCGTATTGGAACATTAATAAGCGGTTTATTACAAATATATATATATATATATATATGTAACTCTATTAATAGTATATCAACACACCAGTTTTCAATGATTAGAAATTTTGATTACTTCTTCAACTAGCGATATTTACAATTAGGTAAATTATTCTATCATTCGATACTCGTATCAATGATCTTAGCTACCTTT